CACAAGGCACACACAGACACACTCATACTAGGGCCAATTTCCCTTTAAGCCAACTAATCTACCATTATATTTCTGGGCTGTGGGAGTATACTGGAGTACCCAGAGGAAACCCACACAGACATGGGAAGAACATTCAAACATGTTCCTGGCTCCAGACTTGGAACTGGGACCCCAGCACTGCAAGGCAACAATGCTAACCACTGCGCCGTTGTGTTGCCTGGGCTTGCTCATTTAAGGTAGGAAAAAGGTAAATACGCAGGAAAAAATGTAACCACATTACAAGACAAGCTAATCGTCGAGATACGGGTAGCTCACCCTGCAACAATGCAGGATGTTGTGTTGTTACTCTTTGTTTGTGAGTAACAAACTGGTGTTTCCAGTGTCTGGTCTCCATATCGGCGAGCCAGCAATGCTAACCACTGTGCGATTGTGCTGCCCACAATGAAGTATCATTACTGAATAACTTTGACAAATGGATTCCACAGATGGAATTCAACACAGAGGCATACATCTTTTATAAAGCACACCAAAGCACACAGATGTCCTTCGGACTTTAAAAAAAGGCCTTTTTATTGCGAGACAATGCATTTTCATATAGTATTGACACTAGTGAATCAGTGACATGGCTTTAGGTCACTTTAGTGAGACATGCTTGCACTCGTAAGTTTTTGTTCCTTGGCCATTTTTATTGTCCTGTAAACGGTGGATGTACAGCTCTTCTTGGTTTCACAATGATTTATTCTATTACTGTTTATCCTTGGAGAATTTAGTTTAAATAAAAAAAAAACATTTCATTTTGGTCTTAAATTTGGAATTTTCTGCTGGTTAATCTGCTGTACGTTTTCTCTGAAAGTTTAATTCATCAGACGTCTTCAGTCTATTCCTGTCTCTCTATTAAGGCTGTCTATTAAAGTTTTTAAGAATATTGGAATAAAAAGTAACTTCTGTGAAAATCTGACTTACCTCTGTGACAAGCTACCCTTTTTCATTATGCTTTTTCTCAACACGAGCCTGCAAAGGGGATAAGGCAGAACAGAGTCAACATTATGGTCATTTAATCCAAAATGTATAAATAAAAATAGCTGTAGCAGGATGTATCATAATCTGCACCTAAAAATGTGTAAATAAACTATTTTCAATATACTAAAAATAATTAAGATCCAATAGTCATTTATCTGTTTAACTATGTATTTAGTCTGTAATACAATACTGTAAAAAAATTCAATCATACTCATGGTCTAGACATGGCAGTGGAACTACTCTGAAGTGAGTCGTTGAAGGCTTGAACCTAGTGGAGACATGAATACTTAATTGAATTAAAGAGTTCAAACATTTTTGTTTAATGGCAATACAGGTTAATGTAAAGAATATTTTCTTATTCTAAAGCTTCTAACAAATTAAATATTCTATTATAACAACGAGCAATATCAATACCAGTATACCTTACCAGTAGACGGAAAATATTCCAAACATGGCAAGACAAACAGTGCCCAAAATGACCAGTTTACCTAAATGAAATGAAGGTTATTTAAGGCAATATTAACATTTCGTATTTATTTATTGTAAGCCTGTTGTAGTTAGCTACGCTATATACTTATTAACGGTCTTAACCAGCCCGCTGAATGAACTACATCCTACTTTGCCTTTTAAATCATGTGGAACGTACAATAAGTAACTTAAGGAATGGGGACGATGCTTTATTTCTGTTATTATATACAGTGTCTAGTAACATTTCTATGTTACAGCACCCGACAATATTATACGTAATTTAACAAGGATAAAACAAAAATATTAAAAAGGTGCAGATGCTTTCACTCGTAGCCAAGGTTTTAAAGCCACAAAGAGCAATGGCGTTTAAGCAACATCCATTTTGCAATTAATACTAATGTATTTTTATTTTAATTTCTATTTAAAGTGAGCGTACCTTTTTTATTACATAGAGATACCACGTATAATAAATTATGGATAGCCTGAAAAGCTTTTTTCGCAATAACTCAAACGAATAAATCTATATAGGCGTCGGACATGCGCCCAGCGTTTTTATTATTGAATGTATTGATTTCATTATTGACTTTACAAGTAGGAGTCAAAAAGTAGAAATAAACGATGTTGTTTTTTAACTTAAGTGTTCGTTGGTCTTTCCTGCAGACCTAAAATGCATGTACTGTACGGTCAGTAAGGATTAAAACGAGTGTCACTATGACAAACTGTACCTTTGCTCATCCTTTCCTCCCTTACTAAAACCGTGTCCTCCTCGGTCTGTATTAGCACACAAGCGCAACCACACCCGTGTTCTGTTGTTAATGTGCCCTACAGAGGCGTTGTGTTCTCACGCAGACGGCGCAGTCCCCGCGGATCCCTGAATGGAAATAAAAAGACATTGTACTGTTTATTATTTGCTAGGGATTTTACTATCCTGATTTTCACTATTTAAAACGATTAAATGATTATACGAATAACGCTATGAAGATCATTTGAAAATATTAAAATACGTTTGACAAGGACCTACCTTTAGAGTGCCCAGGAGTGAGTAAATGTTACTCTGTAGGGGTTAAATCCCACATCAATATAGTTCTGGTGGATCAAGAAAGCTGAACCAAGAAAGGTGATGGGCTTCATTTATAAAACTGTTATCTTTTGTATGAATAGTGGCAATCATTTTAGAGGCTGTCTTGCTGCGTTTACAATCCGTGATTATTCCACCAGCCAAGACAAACCATTCTATTCTATGACAAAAAGGACAGAAAGAACTTGAAAACAGGTCATCTGGTGATCGTTGTTAAGCCCTTTGGTTCCAAATCCTTTGATTTAAGTGTCAAAGTTTGCCCTGTACCTGGAACACTACACAATTACGACCACATTGGTGCCCCTCGTCTAAAGTTGGTTAATTTCCTGAGAATTCTTAATATTGCTACGACATATTCATGTTCAATAAAGTTCTGAAACAGAATACATGACATGTTGGTAAATTTAGCTGAACAGCAATAACACAGTGAACAAACTGAAGGGTGAATCATTTGATTATGTGTAGACTTCAGCAAGTTTATCCAGTGTTTTTTACAAACCTCATAGAACCCAAGTCATCTTTGTGCTTCTTCAACATCCGAATTTTCCATATAAAAAGTCTAGTAACATTTTTGCTAATTAACAGTCTGCAACTCTATATGAAATGTCATATCGGGTGTTTCCCTAGGAATAAAAGTTTATGTGTGAACAGATCACCAAAATGTGCTGGAGTTCAATAACTCATATTATTTTTTTCAACATAATTTTACTGAGCTAATTTGCTGTACATTCTAAAAACATAATGGTCCATCTGTATGATCTTTCCCTTTATAAATATACGTACATTATTTATATGTATTTCGTAACCAACTCTTGTGAGGGCTTCTTAGAATTTCAATAATGTCACAAGCTATTTAAAATTGTAGTGTTGTATTTTATATTGCGTCAATTATATTCTTGAGCAGTGTTTTTTTTATTAAAAAAGAGTACATGACTGAAGTTTAGGATTTTATCATCTTTATTTTATACAGTGTCTCTCATGACACATCATCTTTAGGTGCTTAAAACCAGGCAAAAACAACCGAGATACATACACATAAATAAATAAAGTAAAAATAAATAAAGATGGGATTTGAAAGAGGTATGGGACTTGCAAGTTCTAATAGGGGCTGGAAGATCATTCTACTTTGGAGCAACAGCACAGAAAGCACAGTCCCTCAAGGGGCTCAATGTCTCGTAATTGTACCGAAAGAAATCCAGAATCTGAAGAGATGACCAAAATAAAGGGCTGGGGTGTTACCTGTTCACTGATGTAGTCAGGAGCCACATCTTTCGAGCCCCTAAAGGTGAGCAGCAGCAGAAGCATTTTAAAATATACATTTCAAGGCCTGAGTTATACCTTTAGGTTCCTTTCCACACATATTGTGCGTTTAAAACACTGACACATTTTAGAAACAAAGTAATTCCACCCCTTACTATTCATATTCATCATACAATGCTGACTAACTTGACATTTTATTTTGTATAAAATCGGCAAAAGAGTTAGGACTCATGTCTTACGAATCATGGTAGAACAGCTGCACATATTGTTCTGTCAAAGACAATTTACTTTGTAAAATTGCTTGTGCTTGCAGTAGCTGCTTGTGTGCGTTAAGCTTTTAACTCTTTTGTTAATTCTCCCTTGAGAACAAGGGACAAGGTCTGCAGACCACAAACTTGATAACTTGGACTATTTGGTAAGATCAATGTATAACATGATGATAGCAATATTTGCAGACCTGTTACAGCAACACAAACATCAGTATGATATCCTTATCCCTACACATAGAAGATAACGCAAACTTTCCTGTGCCAATATGGGATCACAGTGCTCTGCCAGTCTGAGCCTTGTTGTTTACATACTGTACTTATAGTTGAGTTAAGGCTGGTACCTATCACTTTCAGAGGGACTTGTTGCACCATATAACCTTGTCAGAAACAGGTTCACAATGAAATACTGCCTAAACTTCATAAAACAACCTTACACTACCCTGTCAGTTGTTTAACTAGAATATGGTATTATGTTTTTAAAGTGTTTCAGTAAATTCCTTACATTGCACATGTTCACAATAAATTGTAATATGCATTTTGTTTTTGTGTTAACAGTGAAGCCGAAATTTCTAGCTAAACGGACTTATTTTCAGAAAGGCCTTTTACAAATATTGCAGTCTGGCATCATTTGTGTTGTTTTCCATAACACACCTCAGGACCACATACTCAAGATTAAGTGGCAGTTTTTGCAGTAAGAATTCAGTCTTAAAAATTATACCACTTGGAGTTAAGCTTATAGTTTAAAACAGTGTGAAACCAGTATGTAATAAAGCACGATAGAACAGTGTATTTCATTTCAGTAGTACAAATGTGTCCCTAGAGGGTCCTTAGAACTGTACAGTTAGTTACAAATTCATTTGTTAAAGCAACTTTCGGTTACATTGCTTCAGATGTGTGAATAAATTTGTAGGAAACTACAATGTGAGCTTTCAAAACTCGTGTGAAAACAGTATTGTATTTAAATTTGGTACAAATATGAGGTACATATGAGACCATAGATGACAGCTGCAGATTCTTCAGTACAGCTTTGTGTAAAGCTACAGCTTCACGCCATAACACACTCCCACACAGCACTCATTATCATGGCTTCCTTCAAGGAACAGCTGGATGAGATCCTAGGATAAATTAGCTGCTAACTACTAAATACTGTAGGTTACATTGGCCAAATGGCTTCCTCTCAATTGCAACTGTTTCTACAGCTCCTTATGAACCTTACATATACAGACAAAAAGCATTTGCACTTCTGCATACAGAATAAAAGTCAAACTCATTCTTTCATTGAAGAAAACTGCATTACTATGTCAATAAAACAATATACTTCATTATATACAGTAGTTTACAACAATATTGAACAATATTGAAAAACATTGACATTCATTATACTGTACATTCTTCTTTGTCTGATTTATTCAAAACCTTTGTTTTGGACAGTACTGTAAAGGAACAATGGCAGTTTTAAGGCAGCCACTGAGATCATTACAGTAGGAGCTGAACTGAGCAGTGCACCTTAACCACACAGTTCAGTAGAGAGATGAGGAAAAAAAAAGAACAATTTGTAACACTGACTATAAAATACCCATAAGTTGTCTGCTTTTACTTGTTCGTGACTTGCATTGTGTCAGGCCAGACATCATGTAGCTCTCTTAGTGGGCGCCTTAAATCAAAACACAAAAGCAGCTTTTGTCTTAGAACTAGCTGAACGCTGTGTGAAATCTAAAAACCAAAAGCTTGACTGTGTTCAAACGCCCTTGTTTCCTAGAGATTTTCAAAAGCAGAGAAAGAAAACAACCGACCGTTTCTGAATGAAAGCCATTGTATCAAAAAGGGATAAAAATGAAAATATTTTAAGAAAGATACTTCATCTCTACAGAAAAATGTTTATAGTTGGTTGTGGTGCAAAAGGTCACTGTAACCTGTAGCACAGTTTCTGTATACAGAGTTTCTAGGAAAATAGGAAAACAATCCTTACTTGCAGCAATACATTTAAATTCCATTGAGGATTTAGACAAAAATACAAATACCCAATTTCTGTGGTCTTTTCTACAAAGAACTATAAATATGCCAAAAATACATTTTTATGAAAACAACAGACTCCTGTGATTCTTATTTTACAAAACTATCGGCAAATACCTGCAGCATAAATCAGATAACGCGATGCCTTCAGGGGAATCACAAAAGGTGCTGCAGCAGCTAGCAAAGTGTTCAGTGTTCTCCAATAATGCTCAGATTGTAGGGTTTTACCTGCTGAGCACAGAGCGTTGACTGTGTTCAGGAATGCCTTCGCTGTAAGAGTGAAGCGGACCAGGGAAAAGGGAGATTGAAGAGGGTGTCTGCACCCCTCCTCCACCCCTCTTACTACACCTCCTGTGCATAAGGTCACCACTTCGGGTAGGAGAAGGTGATGTTGTACTGCTTGGCCCAGCGTGCGAACACCTGCTTCTCAGTAATGAAGCGATGGTGGTTGCCCCTCCTCCCTCTCTCATTCTGGATGTAGGTCGTACATTCATCAGGCCCGCGGGGCTCGTAGTAGTGGTATGGGATCTTTTTGGGCTGGGGTCTCCTGCTGCAAAAGTAAGGACTGTGAGATTTCTTCATCCACACTGTCTTCAAATCCCTGGATCCATTGCTAACTAAGCAAGCAGTCCAGCGATTTTTCCATCATTATTATAGACAGCTTTTTCTCTCTCCCTCCTTGTTGTTCCTCAGACTACTATTGAATTAGAAAGTTGTTTTTGCTCATGGCGCAAGACCCTCCCCTTTTCTGTCACGACATACATTCTGGGTAGCTTCCACAGTCCACTGTAAGAAAGGCGAGCTTATGGCTGACTGCGCTTGTGCAGACTCCACCATAAACTTCGCCAGGTTTAAAAAAACAAAATGTATTTTATTCACATTCACGATGGTTTCATTAGCAAAACAAAAAGGCAAAGTTTTCCACAATACCAAACTATTCCACAAAGCTCACATAAACTAAACAGGCATCTACACAAGCACGTCAGAAACCGGGCCACTCTTTGTTTTCTTTTTTCCACTGCCACAGACATTTCTAGAATTTACACAAATGAACATTAGTGATTAGTTAACACTAATCACTGGCCGTCTTAAAGGGATAGACGCAATTTACGTGATAACAAAACAACGTGCTTTTTTTAAATAGCAGAACATCAACATATTTATACCATGTACTTACAGGATTGATTTCAAAAGAATATAACCAAAAATTAAAACACCACATGACTCCTACAATACCTGCCTTGTTTCACACCCTGGTCAGCATGCATCTGACAGGACATCTTTGATGATGCAAAACCCTGGAATTTCTGGATGAGAGATTAACTAAAATAAAAAGGTTAATCTTCCAGGGCAGGGCAGAATCTTGCTCAGAGGCATATCTGAAGGCGTGTTTTAATTGTAATTGTGCATACGGTATTGGTACTGTGCATTATATACAAACAGAGTTTTGCTGTTCTATCTATGCTGCCTCTTTATAGCGCATTAATGCCTTTATAAATGGTGGGAAGATTACACTTTGTACTATTGATTCCTCTTTGCTGAACTGATTCAAAGCTCTTCATCTTACCTACAGTAGTGTGGTGGAACCATCCCATATACATGAACACTATCGCACATCTCGATGGCAATCACCATGGTAAACCATCCGGTACTCAGCCACGATCGAGACTTTTCCCTGCGCAGGAGAAAAATTGGGACACATGCACTGTAGGGAATATACTGTACACAGTCTCAAAGACTGGGAGCCCCTGACTAACTTTGAAAAGCTTTGAGGCTTTTAAGAGAGAATGAAAGCACAGCTACAAGTTTAAAAATGGAAGGCAAAAAACCAAAAGTCTGAGAGAGAAACAGTGATTAAGGAATTAATCTTGTGTTGCACCAGAAATACTTTTTTTTCTGTATCTCTTTGCATGGCCAGTTAGTACTGTACATACTGTATATGAAAATAAAGGGTTAAATCGATCTTCTAGGTCCAGTGAAATCTGAACAATAGAAAGACGGTGTGGCATTACGCGGGACCTGTAACGACACAAAGCTGACAGCTGACCTGGCTAATTTAGGACGGGCCGCAGCTGGGAAGGGCCTCTTAAGACGCACTGAGCACTTCCCCGGAGGGATGAGAAAAAAATTACCCCTTACTGGGGTACCAGGACTGGAGTCCTGCTTGTTCGTCCCTCCAGGAAAGTGCTCAGTGTGTCTTAAAAGGCCTCCCCAGCTGTGGCCTGTCCTAAATTAGCCAGGTCAGCTGTCGTTGCTAAGACAACACATGGCCGTCATTCCAGGGCTCCGCCTCCACACTGAACACACCTCGCGTAACGCCACAGTGGTTGCAACAGACATGGATTAATTCATTTTCAAATGCATCGTGAGACATCAAGGCTGTCTCTTACCTGTCCCTTCCGGTCTCTTTATGGAAGAGGTCATCAAACTGGCGCATCCTCTTGGGAGCAATGATAAAGGCAGAAAGATTGGTGAACGCCATGCTGACCCTCTGGATGAGGCGAAAGAGCGTGCCCTTGGCTTCTTTGCCAATCTTGGAAGGAGGCCCCCAGAATATAAGCACAGGGTCCAGGGTCTTGTTCAGGAACTCGCTGGGCCGACGGATCACGCGGTACACGCTGGAGTGCGCCACCACCCGCACCGTGCTGTGGTTCCCCACGTCCCTCTCGAAGCCCGTCGTGGGCGCGTCGTTCATACGGATCACGCAGTCCGCTTGGTCGATCTCGTTGCCTACGTTGCTTCCCAGTAGGTGGCTTGAGCTTGTCACCAAGGCGCAGTGCCTACAGTGAAGGTTCAAGGTCTGGGAAAAGACAGTTTGCATGACCAGGTATGTTTTTGCTTTAAAGAGCAAGGCCATAGAAATCACAGTGTTTGTCGGCAAAAATTGTCGACTGATGTTCCTACTTTTCGCTTCAGAAATGGCTCTAAAATGACACTCGGAGCTCTTTTCTTAGCTTCTGCCGATTCCTGCATTGCTTCCAGGTCTCACTTAAATCATTTTCCTTCCGTGTATGCCAGATCTTTCCATTCACTCTACTTACATCCCACCTTAAAATGAATAAAACCAACTATTCAGTGCAAAGTTAATGAGATTCAATAATCCATCCTCATGCACCTCTCTGCTCCCAATACCAGTTAAGAGTAAGTCATGAAGTCATGCCCATTGATCAGTAACATTCTTCAGTAACAGCTGCCATCACAGGTTCCTCCACTGAGAATACAAATCTACAAGTAGGCTTCTTCACTGAACATCTTTGCTTGACCATTTTGAGGAAAAAAACATGCTACCTTATACTGTGTCTTTTGACAACACATTAACGCAGAGAATAGTCCAAATGAAACACAAATACAGTACAATTAAGACAAGGTGTTGAAATGAATGTTTAAAAAGTATTAAGTTAATATAAACAATTGTCTAGCTTTCTGTTCATTAAGGAGCAGTATATCTGCAGAAATGTAGTGATGCAATGTTTCAGGCAGGGGACTCTCTTTTCCATTTAAAAAATGGTTTATTTTCCATGATGTGCCTAAACCCAGATTGCTCCCGTCTTGCTATAAATATAGATTCTGGGATTCACTCTTTCGATATCCCGGCTACACACGTAAATATACTTCCCCATCCACAAAAGGGCTTAAGGGAGGTCCTACGCATTTCACACTTTCCCTTATTTTTAGCTCCTTAAATATCTAATTTTTTTAAAGTCAGGATTATTTTAGCGTGGGAGTCGGTTAAATCCACCTGAATAAACTCTCCTGAATGCATAAACTCGACGCGAGGGAAAAGCACATCTCATCTTTAAAAATTAAACATGAAAACATGGATCTATCAGAGGGGTGAGCCTGGGCTGCGCTTCACAGCCTTGCAGAATCCATGTCCCGTCCTTTTCAAGATGTTCTCGCTGTTATGAGGGTCATAACACATGACTCGATGGTGGTTGTTAATATAATGTCTAATAGTTCACATGTGGGCTACAATCCTATACTGTACCTTGTTCCCATATACAGAGATGTAGCCATCCTCAGACGCCCACTTCTTGAGGTCAGTGGAGCGAACAGTGAAGTGATGGCCGTTTCGCAGTGGGTTGTAGCTGTCGTTGCCAGTGTTGGAGTTATAGAGGATGAGCAGCGTCGTGAGGAGGAAGATGGCCCCAAAGATGACTATCTTCTGGCTTTGCTGCCCCTGCTATACAAGTTCATAGGCAACATGTAAGAGACACAGCATATACAGCCTGTCAAGCACTTTTAGAATTTGAATATCTCAGTATTTCATCAACATTAATCTAGGCAGTTCTGTAACTGAGAAAGAGGTCTCGTTACCATGAGATTTCCTGTTAATTTTCCTGCTCTGCCACTGACACGCTCTATTAACCCAGATCAAGTTAGTTAAGCTTGGGATCAGTCATGCGTGTTGACAGACCATCCTGCATGCCAGGATAAAACTAGCAACATGTCCAAAGACGAACACCTTGATGGACTGGAAATCTAAAGGAGCCTGTCTGCTGTTCCTCAGTCTCACCATGCAGGCACAGCTGTTGTCACTGTGAGCCAAGGGATAAAGGCTCAACCGTTGATTGTAAATTAGGTGGAATATATTAAAAACATAACAGGTGATCCTACAATAAACAATAGTTTTGAATATATAAGGTTGCAAATGATATCACACAAGATAGTGGTCACCCACCAGCAAAGGCTAGTATTGTATCTATTCTATTCTGCTCTAAAAATGCATTATAAATGCAGAGAATTATGAGAATTGGTCTTTCTCCACACTGGTGTTTCATCTTATGCACTGATACCAGCTACTTTCACATGTACTGTGATCTACAGTATATGCAGAAACAGTTTGAACAACACTAGTGTGGGCCTCTGAGTATAATCCTCTGTAAAGAATATTGATTATGAATTAAAACAACACAAAATAAAAAAGAAATCTGCAATGTGTTTTGCAGTGCTTCCAGAGATTCCATTAATGGCAGAAATGTACCAGCAGAGCGTCCAAACCCTAATGAATTTAGAACTACTTATAATGGTAGACATAAAGTATAAACAAGGATGTGAACATTCTGCTTTATTGAAGGGAAGGCTTTTTTATTGATGCAGAAATACAGAGATGTGTACATTATCTAATATACAAAAACTAAAAGGACTTGCACCACAAGGAAAATCACGTTGTTTGCCAGTGACTACAAACATACACTAAATGGAATAAAATAAAAAATAAACAGGCACTAGTTATAAACCCTTAAAATGGATGTGTGAACTTAATAAAAGCAAGAATCTTTAATATCTCTACTTGGTAAACTAGGATGATTATAACTGAAATCATGAACATTATTATTTAATTCATTTAAGGAAATGAAAGATAAATATTTGTGAAGATGCATAGCTTTTCTTGAAGCATCTTCCAGTACAGCACCCCCACAGGATGGTACTGTATTTATATTTACAAATGTAATGGCACAAATGCTTGTATAGTTTTGACGTATATATATATACCACTCATTTGTTATAACTGATCTGAATTATATACTGATGGAAAAAAGAAACACCTCCTCCACACTCTGGCCCTCCTGTCTGCGTGGAACAGGCTGAAGAGTGACTCATCTGTGAAGAGGACCTGATGCCACTGCCGACGAGTCCATCACAGCCTCTGTCTGACCCAAGCCAGTCAGGTGTGACATCTAAGAGGTGTGAGCAGAGGACCTCTGACAGGTCACCTTGCTCTAAGGCCAGCAGCATGGAGCCTCACTGTCCTGTCACTGATGTGGTCATTGTGTCTGCTGGCAGTTTCAGCAGCAGTACAGGTGGCAGTTCCGAAACAATCTCTCAGTTGGACCAGTCTGATGTGTCGGTCCTGCTCTGGTGTGGTCACTTGAGGGCGACCAGATCTCGGATGGTATTCTGTCCTGCTGGTCTGCTGAAACCTTCTCTGCAGTCGGGACACAGTGGAGCAGCTTACTCCATAATATTTGGCAATGCTGGCACATGTCATGCCTGCCCTTGCATCTGGTGAGATTCGAAGCACTATGGAATGCTCAGAAAACTGATTAAGTGTGGCCTTTTTCTTACAGTGACCTAAGCTGTGAATTAAGGCCCTTTTAAAGGTGACTTGATCAGGCATTGTTCCACCTGGATGTCGTTGGGTAAAAGTGCACCTAACGAGCTTTCGTGTGATTGTCAAGTTGCAATGCCTCACTGCACAAGTTGTATTGCTGGTCAGAGGGCTTAAAACAAATCGACAACCTTTTGTGAAAGCACATAAGCTATAACTGTAGTATTCTCATTCCAGAAAATGTTGCGTTTGTTTTTTCCATCAGTATATATATATAGGTCACATTACAATTAAATAAATGTATCTACTCCAGAGAAACTGAGCTCTATACAATGAATACATTTGTTTTGAGAGAATTAAATCTATTTATGTAGCTTTTGGTGATGCTGATGAATATACAGAATATAATCCTGCTACATTAAAAAGATGGGACTTGTTATACACAACCATTGAATACAGTTTTCTATTTAAAAGATTACCTTATCCCCACGCCTATGTGCCATTCTGCTTGCTGTGCAAGGACTACAATCCCATCTTCACTTGTTCAGTCTTCATTCCTGAAAAAAAAGAAGATAAATTAAAAAAAATAATATTCTGACATTATATCTTCAAACTGGACAACTTTTCAAGTGCCAAATAATAGTGTCCTGGATGGAGGAATTAACCAGATTGTATGTTTAATTGGTACATCATGATCAGGAATATTAACTGTAATTGTAAATACATTTTCTCAAGGTGTTCTAATCTGAATATAAATGCACCTGCTTTTGTGATTTACTTTCTGATGGATATCATTCATTTTGTCCAAACAAATAATAGTGCAATGTGCAAGTTTTGCTTATAATCTTTTTGCGATTTGTATTTGTTTGTATAGTTTATCTGATTCAGAATTTGAGGAAAAACACTTTTTGTTCTAAACAAATTGATGATTTCTTTAAATGAATTGTTTTTTGTGTCTCTGTCAGAAGCCGTTGAAGGTCTTTGAGTTGTACAAAACACACAATACTAGCCTTGGGCTTATCGGTCAGTTTAGAATATTCAACAGAAGGCCTTCACTGCCTGGAACTGACCCAGACACTAATGATTGACTTATTATGTACTACAGTTCCTGAAATCAGAGCATATCAGAGCCGGTGAATTGAAATCAGTACTGTTTAATTTATAACATATAGATCTTCTGAATGCACAAGATTCGATTTATGATAATAATATTTATGATATGATTTATATTTAGAATGCTTTGCTTGTAAAATACATGTTCAGCATACAGTGTACAAATGAACTGCTGGCATAAAGCATAAAGCATAAAGTAATAAAGCATAAAGTAACATTATAAACACAAATCACTCTCCACATCACTACTGTCTAAAATATACCCAAAATGACTTGTCAGTCAATATACACGCTGTATGACTTTGAAAAAACACAGTATTGGAGAGGAACTCTCTGACAGTGTGGTGCTCTGATGCTATCTCATAAGTCATAAAATACTTCCATGTTTTCCATTTGCTATGCGTCTTGGGAAAAGGAATTATCTATATTTGCTCCAAAGTTGTGTGTTTCAGTCAAAGCCTTATTTTTGTCTATTGTTTGTTTTTTTTTCTGATATTGCTTTCAAAGCATAAAGTTATATTTTCTTCAGTTTTTTTCAGGCTAAACTCATACATTGTAATAAAATAACGTCATAACAGTGACAACTGTACTTGTTTGTAAAACTAGTTACACCTGGAATAAGTTAATGTACTAGAGGTCCTCTCCTCACACTTTCATCCACCCCCCTGTATTTATCTTGTCTCTTAACTTAAAGCTCTTGACAGGCCAGGCTGTATAGATAAAGCTTCTTATAGAAACTTAAGGCCTGCTAAGCCAATTATATCTGATGGAAAATCCCATTCAGAGAGATTAACTAACTTTTCTTACACATCCACTTGATATAGATCATGTCCTTCATTTTGCCCAGAACTTATCACATTAAAAAAACACCCAGAGTTCCTGCGATCAGCCATCACTAGTGGTGGCAGGTGACATAATAATGAGAAAAAACAGCAGAGGCAAGCTAAAGGATTTTCTAGCTGGGCTTTGTGGTTTAATGGTAAACTGCTGTGTGCTTAAGCTAATTAAGTTCTTACACACACGTCTGTTACAGCGAACTGTCGAGTTCACACATGCAACACACTTGTTTGTTAGTGAATACTGTTCTAGAAAATAAGAACAGTACTGGCATTGTGCTTCTTAACCTGACAAATGGAATAAAGTTCCTTAAAAGAATTAACATTGTACATTACCCCCAAAAGATAACATGCATCTCATTTAATAATACACAAAACTGTAAATCTGTTTCTGCAGTATCTAAATTACACATGAAACCCACGAGGAAACAGATTGAGCTTTAGCAGACGTATATTATCATATTATCCGATTTGTTGTGACACATGATGTGACACAGTTAAATATCGAATCGGAGCAATAATTTTTCTCTTATTGCAAAGAACAAGCATGGATTCACAATGGGGAACTACTTTAACACTGAAAGAAAAACAACTTCAAAAAGACTTTTATTCTTTTAGGATATCAAACATTAAGTTCAACATAAATGATAATGACACAAGATTCTATTTTGCTGTGATTTTTAGATCCAAACAATACCAAGTAGTGTTTTACACGATTGAAATAGTATTTTTCATTTATACTGAGTGTGTAAACATCCACTATTATGTTTTAATGTGTGTCGCAAAACATAATTTTACAAAATGTTCAATTTTATGTAAACTGTAAACGTATAAATGTTACTATAAACAGTAAGAAACCAGTTCCCTGCACATGGCACGTAGTGGGTTCTGAAGCTGTATTTCTTCGACCACCATGACTAACAGAAACATTCCAAAAGTTTTTATTTATCATAAGCAATCACAGCAAAATAGGAAGTTCCTGATCTCCTCTATACTACAAATTACTTGTTTTATCTGCACTTAACTCCACTTGGGATCAATCGCCCTTGATTCTACAGTATCTGAAGTTCAGTATGTGGCATTCAAACAGGAAGCTACAGTAGCAACAGTCAATTCATATAATCAATTTCCAGTGAAGCTTTAGAGCTTGAACTATGATCTGTCCATGTTCATATCCATCATGTCCATGTTCATGTCCATGTATATAACCACTATAACTAGTGGTTATATACACTAGTGTGCATTCTTAAAATAAACCATTGCTTTTGTTGTAAACACTTTTACATGACCCCATCTGTTCAGTAGCAACTGGCAGCCCAGTTTTCATTTGCAGACTGCTTGTAAACAATCCAGTATGTAATAGTATTATTGTAAATGCTCTATGCAAAAGTTCAACGAAAAGGGCTGGGTGTTCAGTCAGTACTGCCATAATTACTTGGCTGTACAGATGATTTCTGTGACAGGCTTTTTACAGTCAAAGACTGTCTCTTTGAGTATATGCTAACGTTTTATTGAGCATTGGCAGCACACTCACAGAGGTTAATAAAAATATGAAATATTTTAATTACATCTGTAAGGGCAAGCAACAGTCTAAATTAAACTAACTGTTTAACCACTGATGAAGGTATATTAAAACATCTTTCTGTGTCAGTGAGTACGAGGGCCAGCATTCTGAGTGAGCAGCTGAAAAGCCAATCACAGCTGTACAGCTGTGCAGGTGCCTGCTTCAGGTCACAACCATTCATGAGCAACAGTGTAGTCAATGAGCTGCAATCATTTCATATTTTCATCATGCTGAGTAGTTGGATACAGGGTTATCATATAAGACAGTAATGCATGTTAATGCTACAAATGATGGTGGTTATCTAAAAAATCTATGCCCCTAAAGTAATTGTTTTCAGGAACAGAACTGGTTTATTAAATGTTTTCTTCACTATTTCAGAAAATCGATAAGTTTTTTTTTTTGTCACTCAAGCTTTAAAACCAGGAAAGGTTCATTTTTCCATTCCAAACTAAAATTGTCTTCATCACCCCTCCTCTTTCAGAAAACGAAATATACATTTGATTTAAAATACAGGTTATATAATTGTTCTAAAAACTCCCATCTGTTGAGAAATTCTGAATATGTTTTGGATTGAATATAATTTTAGGGCAACAGCTTGCTCATCTGTTTGTGCCAGCCCAGCTGGCAACTTATGAAAGATACCAGTCCTGCAGCACATCTGAATTAGCAGAAATCCTGCCAGACCCATACTTTCTCTCAGACTGTTCCTTCTAATTACCATGTATTAATTAAATAAGGACATACACACTTGCAAATAAACTTTTTATAAAGCTTGCTTCTTTATTAGGTTACATTTGCTATGGTTTGAATTTTCTATACTGATCAAGAATGACTCAAAGCAGAAGGACCTAAAAAACAATACCAGCCAGAGATATGGCAAGGTTACAGACATGCAATAATGAAAGATGGCTTTTTTTCAGTGCAGCAACAGACTGCCCTTGATGGTTTCAAGAATTCAGAGGTTTTACCTGCTATCCTAGAAGGCTTCAACATAAGATTTGCCCATCTGGACAGATTTTAGCTTGTAAAAGTCCCAGAACAGTGAGCTAAAGTCAAAAGCAAATTAGCATGCTTTATATCATTGCAAAGAGTCAGTATATAAACTGTGCAAGATCAAGATGTGACATTCACGCCCTAACAAGTTCAAGTAAAAGAACAATGCTCTTGTACTCACAACTTTCTCAATCGGTAAATGAACTCAGGAAGTGCAGGCTGGTGCAGGGTTCCTGTAATTAACCTGGTCTGTTTCTTCCTCTTGTCAGTATTTGTATGGCAGGACTGTTAACTGCTCTGTTTGTTCATCATTTAGTCATGTAGCTGTCTCTGTGCCTCTTGCTAATTTTAGCTTTTTCCTCAACAACATGTAATTTTGTGAATTCATCCCTCAATAGCACAGAAAGGTAATTTAAGCTCTGTGCCTTATCATTCTTGTATCCTAGTGTCTCTTCGTCTCTAATTCCACAGTGCATCCACAGTGACCTCATAAACAGAAAAAACAACTGAGAAAAATCGAAATGCATAATATTTTTATATAAAAAGTGTCAGACTTTTTATCTCCTGCATAGTTAATGGGAGCAGAGTTTCAGATTCTAAAATCCTGCAGCCTTGTATATCTTTTCAACATCTCCTGTCACAGAGTTGAGATTTGACTGGCACAAATTGCACCAAACAGCAGGGTGTATACATGCACTTTGACTTCTGCTTCAGTCTTTTCCTCCTGTGAATTACACCGAAGACAATGAGCTCCTGTTGTATTTGAAAAGAATTCCTTTGTTCTGTCAGACATGAGAAAATTTTAAAAACAGACTTCAGTACTGAACTTACAGGTCTAATCTGCTATTTTGGTACTTTTGGTCTTTACTTGAGGGTGACTGGTGCAATCCCATTCTTCATTCTTCGTTTAAATAGATTGCTCCTTTATTGTTCATTCATGTACTAATAAATTATTCTTCCCTCATATTTATCATAACAAATAATGCCTATAAAACAGTAATGGCAGCATATTTTATCAATTATATTTCAAGAATTCTGAAAGTCAGCTTTGCTTTCAGGGGAAGAATCTTATAAAGAAGGTTGTTACAAAGAACTCTTAAAATATCACAAATGCAGAACTCTAACCTCAGGAATTTACTGCCTTTTTTACTTGTAACTAGATGCCTAATTTTAGTTTTTCTCATTTTTAGCAGTAGCTGTTTTACTGCCACTCAATATTCTACACACAGTCAATTTCTTAGATGTAAAAATCAGATGCAATGCAATATTAAATAGATTGATTTCTTCCATGAAATGCTAGGAACACATACACCATATTTAGGTAAAATTTGTATATGCATGTTTTGACATGCAGTTGATATCTTTTAGTCTACTGTACGATGAAAACTCTGTTTCACTATGGCCACTGAGTCTAGAACTGGACAAATAAGCTTCCTTGTTTGAGAAGGAAACCCACCTTTAAAGGTAATAATAATAATTCCTTACACTTATATAGTGCTTTTTGGACACTCCACTCAAAGCGCTTTACAGATAATGGGGACTCTTCTCCACCACCACCAGTGTGCAGCATCCACCTGGATGATGCGACAGCAGCCATAGTGCGCCAGAACGCTCACCACACATCAGCTATCAGTGTGGAGGAGAGCAGAGTAATTAAGTCAATTCATAGATGGGTGATTTAAAGGTGATTTAATTTATTCATATACTGTATGCATTAGACCTATGGAATTTTCCCATGGTCTTCCTACCAGCTTCTTCATCCTTATTCCTGGTGTTCATTGCCATTGAGTTGTTTAAGTGTGATTAACCAATGCTCACTCAACACCACTGAACAGCTCAATGAGCACTTAAGCTCATAGCACTTATCACTAAACATTAATAATGTGAGTATGTGAGTAGTAAGGAATTCAATATATGTTTTCTGTAAGAAAAGGAAGCAACTATGTTCTGGACTAAAAAGAGTGGTAACAAATTCTAATATTTTATTTGAACTCATCTTAATTTTTCTCCCAAGATATTTGTGTTTTATCAACAGAAACCCAAACCCCAACAGTAATAACAGGGTCTCTCCCTCAGTTCCCCAAGAGCCTAGTGTGTTCAGGTTTTAGTTTCAGCAAAGCTCTTAGTTATATAATTGATCTAATTATTTAATCAACTTCATAATATTGAGGCTTCCAATGAGGCTCTGTGGCGTCACCTTTAATGAAATAAATAGTTGGAGTAACCAACTTCATGGCATTATGAAAAATTCTGTATATCTAAGAAACTACTTAGATTAATTGATAACTTAGGTTGTAACAAAAACCAAAAGACACTAAGACCTCCAGGTACTGAGTACTGAGGCTTACGAACTTTTCCATGTCTGACAATACAATGTTTAGAATTTCAATATTGGATCGCTCAAGTTTTAAAATGCATAATGTCACCTTTAAAACCGTAAGAACTGGAATATTAAAACCACTTATTCTACGTTTCGCAATATCCAGAGCGCAGGACCACATCGCGTAAGACATACAATTTCTGGTCAGGTGTTGCAAAGCAGCTGTTGCATAAACTAGTGGTAACCATCTACAAAATAAATCGGTAAGCAGATAAATCGGTTAGAAAATAATTCAAAGAAGATGTGATGAATGACATTCCTTGTATGTAATAAATTATTTTTACGCTTGCCGCCCCAGTTAAATGGCTCCATATTACATAGGGTGTGATCAATTGATGACGAACACATGTTTCTTTCCAAAGAAATGTATACACACATCTATTATTCATAGTGCCTTAAAATGAAACTACGGCGTCTCTTATCCGTGCCTCGGGCAACGTTGCACAACCACGAAGCTGTAGTAAGCGATAACATCGGTTCAGACCCTTGGTTGGTTGCGAATCAGAGTTCGCTTTAGCAGAAACATCTTGGAAACACTCTATGAAGTCCCAATGTATAGGCAACAAGGTGCAACATTTTGCCAATTCTTAGTGAACCCCAAGTATGTTTTAAACTAGGATCTGGTATCAAAAATCTGAAAATGTTAATTATGACTACATTTCCGCCTTAATCATAATACTGACGCACATCGAATTGTAATCCCATGCGGGAAATACTCGCTCTTGCTGTACATTAAAATATAAATATATTACAGACTAGGCCTTTAAATTCTACCCTAAACATTTCTGATACTCGAAAGAACTATGATCACAGGTCTCTCCGGATAGCTGCTACTCGCATTGCACAGATAGGGATGAAATTCATAACCGTTATCTGAGGCACATTGCTAACGCCGTTGTGCTCAACGATAACATTGATAATCCGACGCGTTTAAAAATAACCCTAATACATTTTGAAATTAAAACCATTTATTTTTGCATTTGCGAAACTTACGATCTGTGCTTCTTAATCGGTTTTGATCCATTCCGTTTTCGCTGAAACGACGAGACGCGTCACCCAGCCTCCCAGCATCTCCTGTTTCAGGAGGAGACGAGTATCCGCTGAGTCCTAAAGCTAGTCTACGTACAATTCAATGCCGTGTTAAACTGGTTTGTTCTAACAAGTATTGTACAATGTGACCAAATGGAAAAAAATGTGTTCCACTATTTTAAGTCTCTACTTCAAGCGAGGACCGGGTGACTGCTTGTTGCCTTTCAGTATACAAACTAGCAAGACTCCTCAACCTCTCCCCCATGGTAATGTTTTTTTTTTACAAAAACAATTTTAATACTTCGATAACTACTACAGCAGTGATATCAGTGTGCCTCAATCTGAAGTACGGTTGTCTCTTTTCTGCGTTGGCGGTAAGAGGAATATAATTGCCAATTATGCCACACTGGGAAACCTTCTTGGTCATAAAATCAAAGATTGGGTGGCCGCAAATTACAGGAAACTGAAATATACTGTCTAAAAATCATTTATTAACCCAATGCTTTTATCCAAAGGGACATACACCTGCATTCGTTTATAGAACTGGGTATTTTAAGCGTGCATCCTGGGATTTGAACCTGCTGGCTAAAGAAACACTTAATGCGTTAAAATTACATTTTACAGGTCGATCTCCGAGGACTTATTTATTAACCACATTTCTCACATGGATCACATTATATTTGACCAACACGCAGAGTAACCTAGCACTTAGCCAGAAAATGTGTGTCTTAATGTTTACTGCATATTAAACTAACACCTGGGCTGTACTGGAGTAAGAGGACTTGTCGCTCGTTTTCCCCACACAAAATAATGACAGATTGCATTTCTGTGAGTGCTGTGGCTTTTCTGAAAGTAAATTGAATTTCTGCCCAGAAAATAAGCAATAAGTTTAGTTTGAGAGAGGGGAGGAGAGTTACCCCCTTGTTCCAGACTCCCACTACCCTTTGGGTAAAGGACTGTGGGGGAGTATGGGACAAGCTACCCAGCTAGAGAGTTCCCTCACTGCCTGTCAGGTCTATACACACACAGCAGGGTCACAGACAGGAGGAGGGGGGGGGGTCAATTAAAAATATATCATGAACAGAACACACGCGCAACAATAATTAAAGGACACTGGCCACTCCTGTCAGTCTCCATCCCAGCAGTCATCAGAATATGCCACTCAGTGAAACTCCAGGCCGCACAATAATTTCATCTTTCTAGGGTATCAATGAGAAGCATTCTTTTATCAAAAGATTATATTTTATTTTAAACAAAAGGCATCATCCAATTAAAATACAAATTGCAACAGTTCAGTACAACACAGATGTTACCACAATAATGGTAATAATGTGATTCAAAAATATAGATTAAAAAACAATGACATGTTTAACCTTTCTCAGGATACAGGACACTGTACGGTTCAGAGAACAAGTGTATTCATATCTTTATACAACGGAAGGAGTAGCAACATGTTCTGTGCAAGGAAATTGAGAAAGCTGAGAATGCAGGCATAACAATCAACACAATGAATTACTTTGGATTATACCCCAGGACAGAAGATTGCATTCCATTTTAATCATGATGTTTAAAATAGAAAAGATGTAGACAATACAAAGGAACTACAAGAGTTCACTGACTGTGAGGTAGTCTTTATAAACTGCTTTTGTCATAGGAATCACAACATACAGCAATTTTATGCAAGGTGCCAAATGTGTCCATTTCCTGGAGATATTTATTCATTGTTGAAAACAAGAACTGCAAATTATTACGGTATTTTGATGGATGAATACTTTAATAAGCACAGCAATGCTTACTAAAAATATGTTCATATATCCATCATTATACTGCAGTAGTGTTTTTGGGCACGCCTTGTTCGTTACAAATGAGCACCCAGCAACTTTCCTTTTAAACATGCTTTTGTTATGATTGATCCAAAACTCCCATCTTGACCAGTGAGGTTTGAACATGAAGCCATTCATGCATAATTACATTTTCATGCTTTTGTCTTATAAAGTTCATCTCATTTGGTAAAACAACTTACATTTTCAATTTTAAAAGACATAAAGCAGTCCAGTTCCGTTTAATCAGACACAGGGACACAGAACTTAAGGGACAGGTTTTGGATCCTTAAATCTGTTCTCATTTAAGGCACTATGAATCTTGTTTCAGGTACACAAAACAGTAATGCTGTTTCTTTCACTGATACTGAGCAGCGTACATTTTCAACTTGTTATATATTCATACCCAAGATACAAAAAGCAAACTGAGGCAACATAGTGGTTTAATGAATTAATTGGCTACATCAAATTAGGCACAAAAGAGAAACAGAGAATAAAAGATATACTTATATTATATCTCAACAATTAAAACATAATTGAAATGCTATGACAAGTAGGCAGCCCTGTTGATTTCATTTCCAGGCATTAATGGGTTTAAATGCAATTTGCAATGCTGCCAGCATCAACAGTTCAGACATTGGCAGGACTTCCCAACTATGACACAACCCCTACCACGCCGCTGATTCAGACACACAAATAAGGTTGTTTTTTAATCAGAAAGTTTGTGGCGTACGTCTTGAGTCAAGTCTGGTCCTGCTGTACAATTGTAAAAACATTTGTACACAGGGGAGGTACGGTAGGACAGTAGTTAGCAGGACGGGAGCCCTGGGTTCAATTCTGGACTTGGGGTGTTATCTGCATGGATTTGTATGCTCTCCCTGTGTTTGTGTGGGTTTCCTCCCACAGTTCAGAAACATACCAGTAGGTGAACTGGCTTCTGGGAAACTTCTGGTTTCTGGTGTGTCTGTGTACCTGCCCTGCGATTGACAGGCATCCCACCCAGGGTGTACCCTGCCTTGTGCCCCTGATTGCCAGGATAGACTCCCCCCACAACCCTGAATTGGAAGAAGTGGTTAGAAAATGGATGGATGGATTTCTATTCTGGCGTGACTTTAAATTGAATTTCAAGTGTAACAGACGCAATAAATTCTGAAGCATTTAATGTACAAATCGGTACCTTAACAATCTTTGATAAATTGCCAATTATTTTCATGATTTAATCTTTCGTTCTTCTCGTGTGAATATTTGGGCTGTGACCGACATTCTCTGTTTGGGTTTGTACTGGCTATTGTTTTGTCCATGCACATACTATGTAAAATAACATTAAAAGTAACATTTTGCTACTTTAAAACAACACCGGATAGAATATTAAAATAGAATATTTTAATGCCCTTAACAGAAGCACCAACTGCCCCACATCTCACCAGGATGCCATCAGATCAACACTGACATTGATTACATAACTATGGCCTGGCCTTTTCACTATTCCTCTGTATGCCTATAGACCTGTCTTTCAGCCACAAATACCTCATAAATAACAATCAAGCAAACAACATAACAAATTCAGATCAATACAAAAATTACCTTATAACAATTCTTGCATGTATATATCACTTTTCATCCAGAAGGATCCCAAAGTCTTTTACAAATCAGTGGGAACAAACCTCATCCATCACCTGGGTGATGTGTGACAACCATTATGTGCCAGAAGCCCTACTACACTGCAGAGCAGCTGGAAACATGCAGAGCAGCACTGAAACTGAGCAGCACTGAAACATAACTTTACCAACTGAATTAAAGGGGCATTCATCAAGGACAGATCAAGCAAGACTAGAGTGGAATTCAGCTAAGATACTGCGATAAATACCACCTATTCCTATGTATAATGCTACAGTATCTTTAATGACTAAACATAGAAAATCTTCACTTACAATCACATGTGAAGGATTGCACCATCTATAGCATAGATACCATACCGGGGTGCTGATTTGGACATTGGTCAGAGTGACACCTACTGGTAACCTAACATTGCAGCAACCTGGTTTTCTTTGGAAGCCAGCCCATTGCTTGACTTGTGAGATCTGACAAGCTCAAGCTACAATTTGGTAGCAACGCTGGCTATTATTTTTAAAAAAGCTTTGTATCCTTGCTGTAGCACTCGGTTAATAAAAAGCTAAGTATGTCATAAACAGTGTGATGTAGGGACTCAAAAACATTAAAACACGCCATACTGATCTGATGGCAACATTTCTGAAAAATCAAGCAATCAATTAAAAAAAAAGATCTGTAATTTGTAATAGGACACTGTGATTTTGTTTTTGAAAAACTGACCTTTAGCAAGAAACCCAAAACAAATGTTCATAGAAAGCTGGTCCTGATTTCACTTAGACTTTCTATAATGAGTTAAATATCTGTCTGAGAATTCTCTAAGAATTTAAATCATCAACTAATGATGGCATGTTAACAGTCTGAATAATAATTAAATTTAAAACTCAGGAAATTATGAAAAATTATGTTTTAGGTTTTGAGTTTTCAAAAGTAAACAATAGTCACAGAATTTTTTAATTTAAATAAATATATATATATGTATACATGTATAAAACTCAATTGTCACATAATAATACTGATTTAATCTGTTTCAAATGACCCATTCAATATGCCAAGCTCAGTTTACAATACTGCCTTGTTGAGCACATTTGGCTTATGTAGAACGAGATGATAGGGGGCAGAACAATATTGCACAGAAGCCCACCTTACTACTATAAAATTAGATCATGCAATACTGATGCTGCATTAATACTTTAAACACTGTTAGTCTTACTACTTTGCCACGTTAGAAATGTCAACTCAATGGCCATGGTTTTTGTAGGCACTGAAAGCGATAAAGGTTAGTATAAACCTTGAACTGGCAGAAAACACTCAAGAAACAATCTTCTCATCTGTCCACGAGGGGTGCAGAAATTCTATTTTCTTGCGCGTTGCCCATTTGGCAAAAATGGCCTTCTCGGTGATGAAACGGTGGCCTCCCCTCGGTGCTCTCTCGTGGGCTTTGTACATGTGGCACTCATCCATCTTCCCCCTCTCGTAGTAATGGTAAGGCACGGCCGTGTGGTTCGTTTGGCTAGGAAAGACATGACTGACGTCAGTGCACATTACTGTCGCTGTGACTCATGGGGCTACTTTTGACACAATTAAAAAAAATAAAAACACCAAACCTTTCGGCCCTTGTGTCAACAGACAATGGAATCTCATAAAACGTCAACCAGACAGAGCAAATTTGGGTTTTTTCGGCTCTTTGTCTGGCTGATGTTTTTTGGGATTTTTTAAAATGTTTCTCAGGTTGTGTTCATCTTGTTCAAATTTTCAAACTTCTTAAAAAAAACACTTAAAAATGTCCACAAGACTGGAAAACTAACAAGAAACATCTCAGACGAAAGGGCTCTAGAGAGAAAAAGTAACAATTTTTTCATTTTCTTAAGCTTTCATAAAATAACTATGCTTTGTGGGTGATAACAGCACTCTTGTTCCAGGATTATTCATATGATTTTTAGTCAGAATTAATTCATTATGGAATTCTTGTTAGCATTTCAAGGTCATA